ATCTCACCAATGCGCTAGTAAAAGTTTCATTAAAAAAAAATAAAAAATAAAACAGTTTTATAATTGAATTGGCATTAGTCACACCGATACATATCGGCTCTTTCCTTTGATCATTGGACCTCTCCCTCTCCTCCACTGTCTGTCCCTTTCTACGTTCACGCTTGGCTAGCGTCGCGTGAAACCCGAGATTCGACACCTCGACTGGATATATGCAATGTTTGGGTCCCAATTTCTCTTGCATATATCCAGGATTTACTGTACACGTCCAGAAACCTTCACGGGCGTTTGCACAACAACTCACCAAAGTTTCATCGCAATCGGATGAATGGTGTAGGAACGCATACGGGACAAACAAAGAAACATTCATTTATTTATATATAGATTTCATTCAAATCCGTTTAGCCGTTTAAACGTGAAAGAGGAACAAACGATCAGCATTTTCACTTTTATATATTAGTAAGGAGTAGGGATATCATGCAAACTTTGCGAGTTCTCTTTTGGATAGCCACGAACGTGCAGTCACCTAACGTTTGGGAGCGGTAGTTAGGGAGTATCGGGCATAGGCTTAGAGTGCTGAGCGCTCAACATATTCTTACGTACTTTTACGCGGATGTAATATCATTTTTATTAAAATAATATAGTCTATGTCACTCCAGAGAAGGCAAGGAAGCCACTGTTAAAATTTGGTATCAATGGGATAAGTAGTTTTTGAAATTTTTCTGTACATACAAACAAACGCTGTCTCTTTATATAATAGTATGATGAAGTATGATATCCCCCGGATTTGATAGGGACTGATGGTACTCACACCCAACAAATAAAGTCCAATTGGTCAGCAAAGGAATGGATGCGGGGAATATGCCGTTTTCATTACGAAAATTTTTCTCACCATATTTGCGAGTACCTGTGGCGTAAGTTCTGCCATCGAAATCAAATTGATTTGATGGAATCAACGATGGATGCCATCAGAAGACAATATACTTTTTAACCGTTTGAATTAAATAAGGTAAGCAGAAGTCGCGAGTATTTTTAATACTCATTTCTACGGACCAATCACATTACAGATAGAAGTCAATATGGCGTCGAAATAACCTGTGAAATACGCTAAAAACGCTCACTTTTACACACGTATAACTTCTGAACCAATGGATTCTGCGCCTTAAAACTAGGATTTTTTGATTCTACTGGTTAAATATTTCAAGTAGATAAAAAAAAAGGCCATAACTTTGGGCCCCTGAGGTAAAGTTTACCCGATATATGTATTGTTACATACGGTATCGTACAGCAATCAATCAAATAAACTGAATAGCAAAAACTGTTTTTTTATTTTCAACAAAGCAAAATTTTAATTTTAGAAATATCGAACCGTAAAACGATAATGGTTTCATTTTAGGACGCGCCGCAATTAAGAGGTTAATGAGTTGAAAAGATGATTAATTCAAAACGTCTCCACTCTTTGGACCAAACACGCAATGCACGATTCGACACTATTAAATTTCTATCTAGATACCGAATTTTTTGTTATCTTTTACTCCTTTAAAGCTGCAGCTTAATCCAATTGTGTAGAACACCTTGTTTACATACTTGCAAAGAAACAGAATAATGCTGGAACGAACGAGACCATTTTATAGAAACAAACAAAATTAAGATAAAACCCAGCACGTAGGTTTTGCTATGTTTTTGTTCCTCTCTTTTTCGATCTGACCTAAATTAGTTTCTTTATTTTAACTATTCGTGCTTCACGTATTTTCTCAGTCGATTTCAAAATGTTCCTTATTTTATTTTACAAAGCTTTCAGCTGAATTTTATGCGCAAAATCTCTATTACTTTTCTGAAAAATTTTTAACGCAATATACGGAGCTTCAATTTTGAAGTAAAATATTTAATAGAACCATGTATGTTGAAAGTGGTGTAAAGTGGTTCATTTTTTGAAAAAGTAAGAAAACGAAAAATTGGTGTATATTTTGATATGATCTTTGTACTTACAAACAATTTACAACTTTTGTATAAATGGTCTTATACCACTATTTTTTACTAAATGGTTAATGTCAATTTCTGTTGGATTACAATATTACTTTATCTAGATACCGAATTTTTTTTAATCTTTTACTCCTTTAAAGCTATAACTTAATCAATCCAATTCTGTAGAACACCTTGTTTACACTTACAGAGAATTTTAATTAGTTCATTCTACGAGATACGACTGCTATTATTTTAACTTCTCGTTGCATAATTTAAAAAAAGTACAGTTTCAAATAATAAAACGTATTTTTCTATTTTAAAAATTGATTTAAAGAACATTATATAACATCGAAAATTTGCAACATGGTGTAAAGTAAAATTTATGATAAATAAAAAAACTTCATATCACATTAGTTTATGTAGCATCGGAAGGTTAAATATCACTGAAATAATAGTCAAAAACAATTCACCTTTAAAATATTGTGATAAGCAAAATATTTTTCATTTTTTAAATTATTTTCTTTTAATTCATAAACTGTAACTGTATGTCAGCAAAAATTGACATTATGAATGTCAATTCATTTCAATAAAACAATAATATTTCAACTAAGTCAAGAATATATCATTTTAATATTCTTGAATAATTTACAAATTAAAACAATGCATAATTAATCCAATTTGGGATCCAGTTTCTCTTCATGTACCAGTTATTTCTATATTACATTTAATTAATATTTTAAAATATTATTATACTGGGAGCAGAAATAATATAAATAATTAATTTCGTCTTGATAAAAGTAATGTGGAATGTCTTTTAAACAATCGCTTAAACGCAACTGCTATCTTTATCAAAATATAGAAATAATTATTCTTCCTAGAATTCAAGAATAAAGTCTGTTGGAAGAAATCAGATCTTCTGTAGTCTCTAGGTACATCTACTTATTAAGATGCAAGCTGCTTTAAGGTCCAAAAAATTATTTTTAATTTTATAAGCTAACTGTGCCGGATACCACATTTTTCTTTTTTTAATTTTCTATTATGTTCAAGTTACAAAATCTCTGTCTCAATAAATTTCCTTCTTAATTTCATTATTATTATATGATGTAAAAACGTTTTGTATTGTTATACTCCCTATTGTAAACAACCATGTTTCTTTAATAAAAATTATTCAGTACATCCTTTATTATCTCATTATGTAACATTACCTATGTATATTTTTATTCTTCGTGAATAAACTTGGCCAAGAATAAGCAATGAAGGAAATTAGACTTAATGTCATCGTGATGCTAATAAGCGGCGACAAATATTTTTGTAGCCCCCTATCTAACAATTATAGTTGCGCTACTGATCAAAAGTATTTGAAGTATTTAAAATCTTAATCTTTTACAGAACATCGGTTGTAAAAAATAAATTGTGTACGACACAATTGTATCACACAATGTGAATAATAAACATACCTATTTAAAATTCTTAATTTTGAAACTCTCAATTTTTTTTAAATTTAAAGAACCTTGATTTTAGATAACTAATACAGTATAATATTGTGAACAATATTGTAATAATATGGTATTAATATTCAAGAAAACTTATAGCCTTTACAAATACAAATTAACCCTCGGACGACGGGCTACGGAGAGAGCCAGAATTTTAACTTAATTTTGTATTTCGTATTATTTTCATTTTCTAAATTTTACACTGTTCCTTTGAAAATTAATCGTCCAATGTACATACGAAACTGTTTCGTTAAAAAAATTATATACTTAACTTTAAGTTAATATATTTCTATGTATATGTTTTGTAAATTTGGGTCACGATTGACCTAGGCTCCGTTGTTCAAGGGTCAAATCTAAATTTCAACTGAAGAAAAATCAGCAGAACTCCTATATCATTAGACAGGAGGTAGGTATATATGATATATAATACTAGATTAAAATGGATCAAAATGACTCTGTATCCGATCACAGTATCGATCATAAAGCATTCATCTTCCAATGGTTAAAAATAATGATTAGATCGCACAACAGATAATCTTAGATCTCAGAAAATTTTGTTATCGTGTTATTAAATATATGAAGGATTCAACGTCCAGTTTATAGCCCTCTAATTTGGATCATCTGGCTATCAGTGGCCTTCACAACATGTGACTTTTGTCTTTACTCCCAGAGAACTGTGTCTTTAAATACATATATAGCTTAGAATCTGATCTAATTACTGATTATAAATACCATAAATATTTCTTAAATAAACTACGTTTTTCGGTTTCAAAAGTATACAACTTTGAATATCTGTCAAAGTAATTCGGAGCAATGTTATTTCTACTCGGCGAATACCATCACTGAACACCATTAACATTGGCATGACTAGGCAATGGCCAAAATGGTCCCTCAAATGTAAACTGACTGACATAAACTTACTTCGTAAAAGTACCTTAATAAAAATAAATAATTAAACCAAAATGCTAATGTGAAGTTATGAATAAAGGGAATAAAATCAAGCAATATTAGACGCCTGATATTGATATTAGAGCTAGGAGAGTGGCTCACAAGGGGAACGCACTTTTGGAATGGCACTAAGTGGAAATTGTAGTATAACAATTGTAGTATAACTAATGGGTTTCTTCAGAATGGGCCTTTGTTTTTGAGATATTTTAATGTTAAAGAAAAAAAAAATATTATCCACAAGTTTGGATTCGAACCTCACCCCCGTCTCGCTAGTAGGCTACCGCTCTACCACTTCAGCCACGGAACCGTCTTGGGAACAAGATTTACCTAGACATGACATATCAGATACGTGAGAATACCAGAAACTTTATATTAAAATATCTTAAAAACGAAGGCCCATTCTGAAGAAACCCATTAGGGTTTTATAACCCTATGTATACTACAACTTCCACCTAGTGCCATTCCAAAAGCGATTTCCACAACCGTGCGTTTCCCTTGTCAGCCCAAAAGAGAATCCTAGTTACACCAATGGCCACTAAACGCGTGATCGAAGGAATGCAATAATTAGAATGAAAGAATAGGTTAAATGGTACTCACCTTGAAGCCAGTAAGGAACGTTGCGGGATCAGAGGGGGTCCGGGCCGAGGACGCCTGAGTGGTGGCCCCGTAACTCAGCTGATGTTGATAGTTGGAGAGGATCTTTTTGTGAGCGCAGGCCTGAGCTCTATAAGCCGACACTGATAACTTCATTTCTTCCCGATAAAGGGTCCGATACTCCAAATGCTCCAGTTGGTGCACATCCTCGTTTCTTCTTACACACTTTAAACCTCTTTAAACGACGACACACACGCGGCCACGGGGACCCGTCCGCAAAGGACGAGGATAGAAACAGAACTGCGTCGGATCGCGCGAAACTTTTCCTGTTATTTACTTTGAACTTCGACAACACCGGCCGGCCTTCCTCGATAATTTCTGTTTCGTTTCCAACGATTTTCTCTACCTGACTCGTGTCTACAACGAGCCTCTATTACCGGCAGCTGTGAAACTTTGTAGAAAATTTGAGGAACAAAACGCAGGAAAATTGAACGATAGCTGCTGCTGGAATCTTCTTCTTAATTTACTTGCTGCTTGTTAACTCTCACTTCGATGATTTCCCGCGAGATACGTGACCAGCTTTGTTTCTTCTCGCCTTTCGACGGCTCTGTATGCATTCGCCGTTTCGGGTTGAATAGTTTTAAAGCTGAACAGATCTACTCTTAAAACTCTCTTAAAACTCTCTCAACGATTAACTCTCTTTCGATTCATTTATAATATTCATAGTAACAACGTGTAATGTATCAACGCAACAGTGGAGTACTTTCTCCTTATCCATCCTGGAGAAAAAATCAAGTCCCGTGAAAAATTTAAATTCTACTATTCCTCGGGGTTGTAGAACGCCAACACCATCGAGTCGCCTTCTTTCTGCTCCTTTTGATTCCCCGTCGACAGACGCTGTAAGGCCACGTGCCGTTGTTCATTAAAAGGCGAACTCGGTGAACGACGCAAGAAAGGAGCTTTCTCGTAGCCGAGCGACCGTGACAAGGATATTTACGTCCTTCCTCCGCTGCCACTTCCTCGTTTGGATGACTTCCACGTACTCCGCGACTCCTCACCCCTCTCGCGCCCCTTATGACCGATTCTACGCTAGCCACCCTGGCACCCAACCATGAAAAGGATCGAGCATCGTGTTCAAACAGTCCTCGAAGAACCATTGAATAGAATCCTTCGTCCCCGGAGGGAAGGTTCCTCCTCGATCACCTCTCTCCTGGTCTATGCCTCGATCATCATCCTTGACTCAACATCCTTAGTCATCTCGGTCACTGATCTTGTTCAACGACTTCTTCGCTATGAAACTTTGATGATTCACACTCTGTACGTCGCTGGTGATCACGCACAACACGAAGAGAACATTCACTGTCGTAATGAGTAGCGTAAAGTAGTAAAGATTTAAAAGCGACGCTCGCTGCTGATTTTATGGCACAAGACACCTGGAAACGTTAAGAATCATCACGGTTAGAGATAAGACTCCGCCAACGCTGCTCGATTTGATTCAATTTACACGATCACGAAACATTAGGGCAAGTTTACGCCCGGAAGCTATCGATCGCGATGACCTTCTTCAACGTTGTTATCCGTCGTCCGAACAAACTTCGGTTACGAGACTGATCGCGGCAATTTGCTCGATGGAAGATCAAAGCTGTCTATCGAGAGAACATCGCTGACCAACGCGTAATTCGCTTAACCATAACGGAAATTAATCGTTCCTCTGACTGTTCGACACGCTCGGATCTATCGTTGCGATTTCGAAAGAGGTTGGAATTTTTTTGTTGACTCGCCGAGAGGTAGACGTCGCGGAAGAGAAGAAAAGTCGGTCGAAACGTTAGTGGAGCACCGTGTAACGTCCGTAGCTCGAGTATAACTGGATTACCGCAACCAACGACACCGTGCATCGGGACATCGACTAACCACCACGAGGTGGTCCCGACTCTTCCGTTCTATATTCACCCTTCCCTATAACTGGATTAAATATTATCATAAACTGTGCGCGTGAGCGGACATGCCACCTACACGGATTCTACCTCGCGTGATTTTAGCTGGCACGTTGGCGATTCGTGGGGCGAACCGGATCCCCGATGGTTTTCATCTTTCAATGTGGTTATCATACGTATTCCCATGTATCGATAACGATTATTCGTCGATATTTATTGACTCTGCAGGCTCGTATATTCTGAATTATTATTTTCACCAGGGTTTATGACATTCGGTAATTGTCTACTATTTGGTCAGCATCTCCGATTTTTTTCAAACTTCAATATATTAAAAAGCCTTATTTGAGAAGGTGAAATGTTATTGGAAAAAGTGTCGCAAACAATTGTATGTTGAAACTAGACCTAAACTTATATTAAAACTGTACACATATCTGTAACGCAAAGCGGTCGCAATACTATTTTTAATAATATGTTTCTTTTTAAATATTGAAATTTGTATTAGTTTTCATACTCGACGAGTTTTCAAATCAAAATAACAAAATTTACGCCTACAACTAATATTGGAGAGCTATCAAGCTTTAATTTTAGGATAGATTTGGGACCAGTTTTAATATAATATAAAATATGCTTAGAATTGTTTGCAACACCTTTTTTAATCACATTTTACATTTTCGAACAGCCCTTTCCAACATATTCAAGTTTTAAAAAAATCGGACGTGGTGACCAAATAGCTTTCTTTTGAGTGTTGGTAATTTCATAATATTATAGGTAAGATTTTTCAAGATTAGATTAGTGGTAAATTATTATCATATTTGATCTATACAAATATGTAAAATATGTGCTAACGTGTAATAGATATAACAAAATAGAATGCAATGTTCAGAAAATGCAAAATGTGTAAATTCTACATTATAAATTGTAGAATTTATTATCAAGAAATACTTTTATATTATTAGAAGAACTTATATATACAATGTTATTGAAGAATAATAATTATTTAGAAGAATAATAATTCTTCTTCTTATTAGAAGAATAATAATTATTAATAAAATATTGATTTCTTAACTATTAGATTTTACTTAGAATTTTGACAGTAAACTACATCGTTTTTAAAGAAATAAAATCAACCTGCAATCCTTCATACACCTACAAACAATGTTACTATGTATTTCACCTTGTATGCTTTGGATGTATATCTACATTTAAATTGAAAGCAAATTGAAAAATCAATTAAACGAAGGAGGGAAAATAAATTACGACATAGAATCATCTAAATACTTCTGTGAATAATTCTTTATCTTTATCTAACGTTAATGTACAAGGTGAACCAACAAGCTGTAATAATTGGAAAAAACTATTGTTAAATAAAAGTTGTGCAATAAGAAAGTCATTATATAATAATTAACCATTGCTTTCTATTTTCTTTTTCCCTTTATTAGCTAAGATATTGTGTGAACACATCAAGGAAGAAAACATGAGCAACCGTGATATCTTTAAAAAATGACCACGAAATAAAAGGTATTTTGCCTATCAAAAAGGTGCAACTTTGCACTGAAGTATGCTTTCATAACTTTGTATGAAAATACAAAAGCTTGCCTTATAACGAGTCACACTTGTGACACAGATTACACTTTCAGAATAGATCGTCAAATTTTAATTAAAATTCCAAATGCCATTTGCAACGTGGAAGATTTCCAAATAAAAGTTCTGCATCAATTATCATCGTCTGCATCAATTATTATCGTCTCTCCTGGCGTTCAAGCCAAGGGTAGCAAATTCCAGAGTATTCAATTACTAGAAAAACGGATTAAAAATCAATAAATCATTTTCAAAGTAAATCGTTATAAATAAAGTGATTCTTGTGAAAGTCGAAAATGTAGAATGAAATATTTTTATGTAAAATTTCAATTACCACTTTGAATAAGTAATCATTTCAATTAACCTTTTAACACATTTAATGTCGCATGAAATTTAACACTTTGATGATTCATTTTGACATTTAACTTTTCACGCTGTTATACTAATAATTACAATTCGAAAATAATGTTAATCAGTTACCAGTTAAAAAATGAATCATTACTTTTTTTTTAAAGAAAATAGTAAAAACCTCCCTGTAATGCGTGGTTGCAAAAGTGTTAAAATTTATAGCAAATGCTTAAAAATAAATGATTATTATACTTTCGTTTCGTTTTACCCTCGCTTTATTTCAAAGCTCAATGGAAGAATAACTTTCCTCGCTTAATTAAGGATGCCTTTGATAAAAGTGCCCCTGGCCATCAGTGACCCACGCAACGCGGAACGTATTAAAACCGAATGTAGTGAAGTATAAATAACTACAATAGAATATCAAATTCATTTGTTTATCATTTATCAAAGAAAATATTGCAAGGCGAGGGGTCAACAAATAATTTCGTCTTGTAAAATAAATATATTTTGTTTTACCTAACAGGCAGGATATTATTCACAAGAGAAATTAAACAGAAAAATATTTTTTAAAAAACATTGACACCCTTCTTTTCTTTTGTCCACTGATTTCTTGAGTGAGAATTGAGAGGACAATTTCAAATTTCTTTTATCTCAACTACAAAATTAAAATATGCAAAATATAGAAAATTAGTTTGCAAATGTTATGTAGAAACTATAATATTTACACATAAAAATGTGTTTAAAATTTTCTACATAATTCAACCTTCAAATTTGCATATAATGGCGTTTTAATTATAGGTCAAAATTACCATAACCTAGAACCATCAATTTCCGGGGGTTAAATGCGGATGTTCACCAGAGATTTCTTAATGAGATAATTGTTTTGGAGCGTTCGATTCCAATATTTATTGGATTACCCTAATGAGATTCGAAAGATTAGAAAGAATGGAACAAGCCAGAGAACAAAGTATCGATATCACAACATGATACTTCTTTTTATGAATGTAGATAAAAAATCGAAACTGAAATGTAGATAAATAATAGACAGATAATTTTGGAAAATACTATACGATATGAAATGGCAAAGTAAAAAATTAAATGTTGAACTTAAATATTCAAATATAGTCATTATTCTTCATCTCATCAAGAGGATAAGAATCCTGAAACGTTAAAGATTTTACACAAATTCGTCATGAATATCATAAATTAATTATATAGAATATTTATGGTAATTGCCATTACACTTTTTCACATTTGACACCGAACGAAAATGAGCATTAAGTTTCGGTGTTAAAATTTGTCAACACACTTCTTCATTACAGAATCATCACTTTTAACACCATATACTGTTTTTTATTTGATAAAAATCAATTGATATTAAATAAAATGTCTTTTTTTCAATAACTTGATTGAATTGGAATTCATTGCCAATTCAGTGCCAATCATTGGAAAATGTGCTATTTTTTAATGACATGTAAATCAAGAATTGTCCATTAAAAATTAATAAAAAAGGAACATCAGAGTTACAATAAACACTCTGTACATGAAAAATTGTATTAAATTTTCAATGGGGGATATTAAATATTAATATTAGGGACAATTCTTATTTTAACCCTTTATATTTCAAGTGCCAATCTGGCTGACTTCAAAGATTATAAAGTTCCAGGCTTTATTAATTAGTATTAAAAATTAAGTTGTACTACACTTAAATTACTAATTCGTTATAGAAAATGTTAATAATAAATGGAAAATATTAATGTCTGTAGAAAATATCGAAGAGTACCTAAATTAAATTGTTAAGGGCGGAGAATTCTTCGGAGCCTACTCTTTAAACAAAGGGGTAGTGCCGAAAATATATAATAATCAGTAAAGGTGAAATTTGATAATGAGACATTTAACGTCATTATGCAGAATAATGAACGAAAAGTGTCAAGACATAGTGTAAATATCCGAAGAAGCCCAAAGGATTGATCTACCCGTATGACAGTGAACGAATTAATGCAATTCAAAAACAATCTCTAACATTTAAAATACTCTTCAAAATAACCTTAGATTTAAAACCGTTTATATTACTATTTGCAACTTCCCTTTCCTGAGAAACTCTAGAAACATCCCAAATTAATAGGTATTATGCAACCTTGTAATGATTCGAGAAAATATTCCTATCACCCTTCGAATAACTTTCCATTCTGAAATAGAGATTCAAGGAAACGGTTGAAATATTTCAATCTCCGTGCGAAGAATTTTCTACGTTGAAATTAAAGTTCGAAGAAACCATTTCCTTATTCTCTCAGCTAAAGCCCCAGTATCCAATTCTTTTAAAGGGTTATCCTACTGTGACCAGCTTGAAAAGTGAATATTCTCTGAATTTCAAATGTAAAAAGGTAAAATTGTAATTCTTTTGATATTCAAAAATTTATTGAATCGTATCTTAAGCTTTTTGCATTAGAAAATAATGCAATTCGGACGATAATAAGTAGAATTATAAGATGAAAGATTTCCTCTATTAGGATAGAAATTAAATTCGCTACCTTTAGCAAGTTTTACTCATTAGCGTAAATTGGGTATTGTTC